ATAATAAATATGTACAAATAGGTATTGGATAATAATACGAAAACCAAAATTGTTGATGTTATATCCAAAATTTCTCAAGCTACCGGTAAGTTTTACTCATTACTTTCAAATTAAAAATAATATTAAATACTCAATATTTTTCTTACAGGTCAAAGTCAACTTCTTAACGATTATTGAAATAATACTGCAATAATGGAACAATATCTAGTCTAAAAAGTATTTATGGAAGACGAGGAGTTCTAAAAACATTTGATGATGATAAATGCTATTCGAAGATTAGTACAGGATTTCTTTTTCAAAAATGAGTTATCCTAGTTGAATAAAATTTTGGAAGAATTGAAACATTTAGATTTGCCACAAATATATTATTCATCTTTATATACTTTCTTGAGATATAATAACTAAGTAAGTTTGTAACTTTGACCAGTCAAATGTACTATTTATTTATTATGTATATATTTTTTAGATATTTGAAAAGAAATTGTCAAAGTGTATTGATAGAACACTATATACGTAGATTTAAAATCCATCAAACAATATAGAAAAGAAAACAGGCTAAGCTTCTACTTTGATGAAGATCATAATAAGGTTTATCAACAAGCCTGAAAGCCAAAAACAGGTGCCTTAATATACATGCTAATTTTAAAGGTTTTGTAGAAAATGCATTTACCTTGACGAGACGAAATCCGAAGTATTTTAGAATTGGTTTTCTGCATTTTTTACAAAGTTTTTTAATGATGCTATGATTGTGATGGAAAATGTATCATATCATAGTCAAAAAGTTGAAAAAATTCCTTTGTCATCAAGAAAATCTGACAGGAATGGTTATAATACTAAAAATATTAAATTTATTTAAATATGAAGTGATATCAACTTTTACACCTAATTTGGCAACATAAAGATGCACATAATTTGAATGTTGTCAATGTAAAGGCTAAAGAAACCAATAAAGTTGTGTAGTGGCTGCCCCATATCACTGTGAGATAAATCCCATAGAATTGATAATTGTAGATTAACATATTGAGTACTTAGTGTTTTTTGTTTCTGTTTCAATGTAAATGTCAAGATGTACTTTGTCTTTTCACTTATTATGTTGTATAGGTACCTTCTGTATTTTTGTTTTATTTTTCAAACTTTATTATTAATTAAGATATTATAACAAATTTACAAAATAAAGATACTACTATTCATGTGTTGTTTTTCTAACCCATATTAAAAAAAAATACAAAACTACAGTGTAGTATACAAAAATTACAACTGCTCTCATTTTTATTAAAAAATTGTTGTATCTTACACACATTTAAGCGCCACTCTGTATTTAACTTAAATAAAAATTCTTCTTCTGCAATGTATAAGTGGTAAGAGTAGATTTGAGAAGCCGTTTTTGAGAAATCTGGATTTATAGAAAAGGCGTCCTTTAAATTTTACAATAAAAATGGGAGCAGCTTTAAATTTTTCACCCCACAAACCCCTCTTAACCAAATATTTTAAAAATACATCAATTATTAAAAAAATTATTTATGAAAAATTAAATTGAACTTTTAACACTCTGTATTTCTGAAATCATCTACTTTTGGACTGATATAAGTTGGGTTAAATCATTACATTTAAGCCTCAGGAATATATGGTAGCATTTTTTCCGCAATATTATAAATTGGTAAATATTGCTTTTTTTGTGTTCTACTTAAAAAAAATTACAACTTATTACTAATTTTTTTTTTAACTAAAAATTGATGAATTTCTAATCAAAATGATTAAAATGTAACTAAATATTAAATTAAATTTTATTTATTTGAAAATAAACCATTTACAAAATTGTTAAGTAACATTTAAAACTACAAAATATTTTGGATATATTTAAAAGTGCTATTGCCATCTGAATATGTCCATAATTTGTGGCTTCCAAAACTTTCATTATTTAACCTAAAACAAATACCTTGTTTTAATATTTTAAATAAATAGCTTGGTACTTAAATAGTCAAAAGCATAAATAAAGTATTATCACCGTAACATTTGGTGTGGCACCCTTTTTTAAACATTAAATTGCTATATGTAAAAGGACTTTCCAAACAAGTGTCAAAAATGTTCTCTAGATATAATGTAAAAATTGCTCATAAACAAAATTATGCAACGAAACCTTATTTTCAAATTTTAAACCCAAACTCAAGAAAGCAACTCAACTAAATGTAGTTTATAAAATAGACTGCAAAGATTATAACTACACTTATAATTAAACTCTGCGAATGTGTAAAAGATTTGTCAAACATGTATTTTAATTTAATCAACTAGTTGTAAGCTACCTACACACTATCACAAAATATGGGTTTCGTCCATGATCATTTTAAAGTGTTTATGTTCCTAAATGTTTTTTTAAATTTTAAAAAGCTGTGACTGCACCAGAAGGTTCCAAAACACATATGCAGTGCTGAATTATTAAAAATATCTACGGATCATACTAAAGACCTTTTATTTGTTTGTAAAAAATATATTAAATTGGGTGTAGGAAATCCTTCTGCTGACACAAAGTTACAAATTACCTTTTTTATGCCTTAATAATTTTTAATTAATTATTTGTCTATACAATAAATGATCATACAAAATTAAGATAGATATTATCTTACCTGCAAATAAACATTTAATTTTCAAAAGGCTTGGAGGATGTCTTAAAAAAATATACCACCTGCTTTATATTGTATAAAAATAAAGACATTCTGATGCACAATGTGGAATTTAAGCAACAATTATAAATCCTATCTACAAAAAACAGGAGAATGATAAAAACCATTATTATTATGGTAAAAGCTGGTACCATTGCACTTTCTTGGACTTCTACATACATTTAATAAGCTGTTGCTAACAAGTTTACACTTTCGACTGTTGAATAAAACATCTTGTTAGTGGAGACAAAATTCGTATAGATTTGATTTATTTCATTTCAAAACACTTGTCTGCAAACATATCCTATCGTACTTCAGAACTTTGCTACATTTTACCTGAAGAAAGAACACTTATTTAATTAGGAAATCCATACAATGGTAATCTTGTAGTTTAATTTCAAGAAAAAATATTACAAATTAAACTATACCTATAAAGAAATATAAAAATAAACTTTATTTTTTTGTACCTGCCAAAATTCTTCATTTTAAATAAGCTTTTCTTCAACTACGTATTTTTCAGTTTTTCCTTAATATGTTTTGTAATAGATAGATAATGATAGGTGCTTAATTTCATTTCAACAAATATAACTGGCATACCTATTTTTCTAATTTTTCCATCAAATTGAAAATTCTACTATTTACTTTCTTTTCTGTTATTATAATAGATATATAATTTTCTAATCACAGTTACTTATAAAACAATGAATAAAATATCGAATTAAAACTCTATGTTAAACTCAAAACGTAAATTGTTTTGTATTTTGTTGGGAGACATTTTACTCAATTTACTGACATTTGGTCGCTGCTTGGCCGATTCTCTTCCCAATATACTGGTCCGAGCTGCGACATGAGAAGTAGGGAAAAAATAAAAGTACAACTTTAAATACAATAATTATAAATCAAAAACGGAATGAGCACAATTTAGTGTCATTTTTATTCGTTGGTTATCTAAAACTTTGAATTCATAACAAAGTTTTGAAATGATACGAGGCAAATTCAAATTTACCGCTAAAATGATATCTAGTTACTTTTTTAGTTATTTTTCCCTGTGTAAATAGGACTTTTCAATTCGCTCCTCTTAGTTTAAAAACAGAGTATAGTAAATTAAAGGACAAATCGTGTGGATAATGTCTAAGGTAAATAAGTCGAGTTTCTTTTAAAATAATCATGTAAAGGTTGATATAAATAGAGAGTCAATCGTTGATACAAAAGACTCAAGGGGCGGCCGTTGGGCCAAACCGATGCCCAAAAATATAACTTAGTAATTACGTGGTCTTCGGGACCCTATGTCCCGAAGCGCTTTATTGTATACTCGTATAGTAAAGTGTGTGTGTGTGGTGATTTTGTTTCAAAGGTAATATATTTAACATGTTGTTTAAATCTCTTGTTTGGGTTATGTACTTTAAAACAGTTCATTACTTTTCTTCAAATGCCAATTCTTTCATTTTCGTCGCAAGTTTATTTATTAAAAGTTTATCAGATTTAAGGGTTTTATCATATAAAGAGTTTTAATAAATTAAAAGTTTTGTGACATAAAAGGTTTTATTATATTTAAATGGTTTATTATATTACAGAATTTACAATTGTGGGTAGTGATTTCTGTTTGTCTTATTTTAAAAATAAAGATTGTTCTGATCTATTGAAATTGTTTATCATGTTTTACTTATATTTTAAATATACATGTTGCTGTTTGTTAACCTATTTTATTCTCACCTTTTTCCAAAAACGAGTAAGAAATATTCCGAGCATGTTAAGCCTCGGCGTTCCTACTCTTAAGGACTTGAGAGTCTTAAGTCAGTTGCCAAAACCGCTCGACACATGCTATTAAGGGACGTTTTTTTTTTGTATTTTATTATTTTTTTTATTATTTTCTTTTGTCACTGGCGAATGGATGCCTTTATCCCATAATAGTATAATGACAACAAGTAGTTAAGGACTAAGCAAAAATGGTCCATAAACCAAACTGTTTGTTACATAACCTTTAACAGACTCTTTTAAGTGCAGACGATCAAAGAATATTGGTCCAAGCGATAAAACAGGAGTATTTTTTGCAAATAGCCAATTGGAACATCCATCAGATTAAGTAGTGCCTACAAACCGTGAAGATACAGTTGGAAGCTCAAGAAATAGACAGGAGAGCGTGGGAGAATATCGAGAGAGGTGTAATATCGATCATATGGCAATCTCTAAAACTACGCGCCATCTCTACCCACTTAAAAATTTCTCTCGAAGAATGCTACGTCAAGTCCATGTAGCGATCTTAGTTTCAGTGATACAACGTTCAATATACTGTGTTGACAAACGTTTGGAGTTTTATACGAGTTTTTAAAGAGTTTAATTAAGATGTCTCTTGTTTCTTTGGATTCAATCTTCAGCTTCAGTTTTGAAGAAATTTGCGAAAATGATATAACTGATGATAAAGATAAAACTCTTGCTTTAATAGAAAAACCTCTAAATATATCATTTCAAAATATATTTCCAGCACAGAATTACAACAAAAACATTACAAAAAAAAAAACAGTATTCTGCAGTATTAAAACCAACACAAATAAAGGAACAACTAGAGGTAAAAGCAGAAAAGAAAAAGAATAAAATAAAAAATGTTAAAGTACAAAAAGTCAAGAAAAATATTTGTTCCTTTAAACAAAAAATTATTACACAACAGACTATATTGGAAAATAAACTAAATAACGACCTCTGTTGCATTTGTGGTGAATTTGGAGCCAACAATGAAGGTTGGTGGTCGTTCATACGGAGTATGGGTGTATTTTTTTTTGTTAAACATCTTCTTTATCAAAAATGTCATGTTTACGTTTAATATACAGTGTGTCCGTAAAGCATGGAACAAATTCATATTTAGCTAAACATACCATTTTAAGAAATAATCCTAAAAAACGTCGATTTTTGATTTTAATTTACCGTATTTTAAAATAATAATCTAATATGCAGGGTGAATTACTTCCGAGTAATGACGTCACCGTTATTTTTTTTAAATGGAACACCCCCATTTTGTCTCAATTTTCGGATTACTCTAGCTGAGCTGATTCCTTAAATGTATCGCATGTTGATTCCAATTGGTACAGGGTGGGCAAAAATACAATAGTTTTGTGTGTGCTCATAAAGTAACGCGTAACATTCTTTATTAGTTAAATTAACAATATTATCAAAAATACTTATTGTCTAGCGGACAGAATATGATGAAATACATGTTTTTATAAATGTTCGAACTGCAGCCCTTGCTGTATTTGACAGTAACCCAAACGGTGTACAATTTCTTGTTGAACTTTGTTTATTGTGTCTTGAGAAATATTGTTTATTGTTGTCCGAATTCTCTCGTTTAATTCTTGAATATTTGCTGGTTTCGTTTGATACACAACATTCTTCAGATGGCCCCACATAAAATAATCCAAAGGATTGAAATCTGGTGACCTCGCTGGCCATTCGATAGGTCCACGTCTACCAATCCACGTGTTCGGAAAAATTTCATCTAGGTACCTTCTAACATCTACAGCATAATGTGGAGGTGCACCATCCTGTTGAAACCATAAACTTTCATCACAACCTCCAGGAAACTGGGAAACAAATTACGTAAAGTAGGTACGAGATACCCCTTAAAAACTCAAGGCACGTTGCCCCGTTTAAATTACCTTCGACAAAGTAGGATCCGATGATTCGATTTCTTACAATTCCAGACCATACATTTACCTTTTTCGGGTATTGTGTATGATGCTCACGCATCCAGTGGGGGTTTCCTTTTGCACAGTATCTACAATTCTGACGGTTAACCTCGCCATTTAACGTAAAAGTGGCCTCATCAGAAAAAATAATGTTTTGTATCAAGAGAGGGTCTTGGTGACATTTATCCATAATTTTTTCACAAAACTGGAGTCTTCTATTGGGATCATCTTCGTTTAATTCCTGCACAAGTTTAATTTTATAAGGATGCCATTGTTCAAGCTTTAATAGTTTGTGTACCGTTGTTTTGCTAACACCGATAGCGCGATTAACTTTACGCACAGAAGTGTGCGCGTCTTCTTCAATACTAAGTAAAACATCTAATGCTGTATCAGAATTTGCAGAGGGACGACCTGATTTGCGTACATTTTCAACCGTACCAGTTTTTTGAATTTTTTTTTCAATCTTACTGACTGTTGAATGCGTTATAGGTCTTTCTGGATATTTATTATTAAACAAATTGCACACTTCCATCTGAGTTCGCGATCTATCTCCATACCCAATGATCATAAGTATTTCATTTTTTGTTTTACACTTTACTCCATTTCTAATTCAAATTAAATCTAAGCAATAATTAAAACATTCACGAATACCAAAAATATTGTAGTACTAAACTGTCACTGAACATCAATAAATTACTAAACAAATAATGATATTTTACAAAAAACTAGACGACTATGTTTTTTCAAATTTGATAAGAAATAATTTGTTTCATATTCTGTCTGCTAGACCACAAGTCCACCCTGTACCAATTTGAATCAACATGTGATACATTTTTGGAATCAGCTCAGCTAGAGTAATCCGAAAATTGAGGCAAAATGGGGGTGTTCTATTTAAAAAAAATGACGGTGACGTCATTACTCGAAAGTAATTTACCCTGTATATTAGATTATTATTTTAAAATACGATAAATTAAAATCAAAAATCGACGTGTTTCAGGATTATTTCTTAAAATGGTCTGTTTAGCTAAAAATGAATTTGTTCCATACTTTACGGGCACACTGTATTTAATTCAACATTAATCTGTTGCCTTAGTCGATATTCCCGATTGAACGATTTTACCCATTATTTTAATTGATTTTACCCGACTGGTCGATTTTACCCGATTCTTTTTTGTATTTTGTTTTACCTGATTTAACCAAACATATTATACTTTCGACATATGTGTTATAGTCTCGGTATGCAACAATATATTTGCTAGTATTCTATATCGTGGGCGCACTGCCAAAAGTGACCAAGTCAAATTTTATATGATTTAAGTTAATATGACCAAATTTCTTGGTAAAGTCAGATCTACCAAATAAAACATGGCCAAGTTGTAACGTTTAGATTTGACCTTATAGCGGTTATTCATTAAAATAGGCATGCGCTTGTCTTGTTTAGCAGTTTCCGTACTCAGTACTTCTAAACGGGTCCTTGTATACACACATTTAAACCACTGTGATTATCTAGTTTGGTGGATCAACAGGCGACAGCTGATTTATATCAACAGACTGTCGAAGGCGTTTCTTCCGTAGATGCAGGGGCTTTTCTGCGACACTCTGGGCGAGTAGGTGCCTGCCCTGTATTCAAGATTTCTGTCTAGCGTTTACGCCACGACGGTTACTGCAGGTATATGTATTTGATTTTAGCTAGGCTATTTATTTCGTTTTAGAGGTTTGTTTGGTTATTTTAGCCGTTTCTGTCAAGAACTTATTTCGTAATAGAGGGCGCTGAGGGGACATCTATTTGCCACTATCTTCAATTTGGGGATTTATTATGCTCGTGGATCAGTGAGTTTTAAAATTTAGTGGAATTCTTTTCCATCCACAATTGGGATATTGCGAAACAACCTTTGCTTAAAACTACAACAGTGTGATTTGGTTGAAGTTTTGGTTGACCATACGTTGTAAGAGCTGTTGTAAATAGGTGACTATTATTTATTTATTTTGATACATACAGTACACACCTCATGTATTTAAGTTTTAAGATTACCCCTAGTCCCATTTAACTCTAATGTAGTGTTTTAGTAGCGAATAATACTCCCAGTGATGTTGGATTTATCATTAATAGTTGAGGAATCTAATCGTTAATGTACTAGTTGATTTTAGTTGATTTTAGTATTGAAAATAAATCATCAGTCGTAAAAGCTTAAGTTTATATATATATTTATATAAGAGAGTTGATAGTCGTTGCTGACTAGTTAATAATTAAACCAGTAATTAGTGGGTAATGCAACAAATGAAAGAGTACTTTTTTAAGTTTATTCCAAGCTTTCGGAAATGTTTATTTCCATCATCAGGGAGACTAAAATAAAATAATACCACATATTATGATAAAGTAAGGTAAAAATATTTTTTTGTCATCACTTACATCTTAATTAAGGTTGTTCATTTTGGTGGTATTATTCAGTTTAGTAAAAATACAAAGTAAAATGGACAAGCTGAAGTCAATTACAAAATAATATTATACACAAACAATAACTACGATACTTTAAAAAATAAAAAATATAAATAACGAAAGGTCAATTTGATAATTTGACATGACAAGTAAAATTTTAAATAAATAACAAGTTATTAGAGGTTAGGAAATAAATGTGGATAATGCTATGTTTACATATCATTAATATTTTTTAAATGTTCAAAGAGTGATTTTTATATTTATTGGATTTGGACAATAAACCAAACCAAATTCATAATTTAAATAATACAGAGCTAATTTAATATAAAACTCACTCTTTGAACATTTAAAAAATATTAATGATACGTAAACATAGCATTATCCACATTTATTTCCTAACCTCTAATAACTTGTTATTTATTTAAAATTTTACTTGTCATGTCAAATTGACCTTTCGTTATTTATATTTTTTATTTTTTAAAGTATCGTAGTTATTGTTTGTGTATAATATTATTTTGTAATTGACTTCAGCTTGTCCATTTTACTTTGTATTTTTACTAAACTGAATAATACCACCAAAATGAACAACCTTAATTAAGATGTAAGTGATGAAAAAAAAAATTTTTTACCTTACTTTATCATAATATGTGGTATTATTTTATTTTAGTCTCCCTGATGATGGAAATAAACATTTCCGAAAGCTTGGAATACACTTAAAAAAGTACTCTTTCATTTGATGCATTACCCACTAATTACTGGTTTAATTATATTTATATATATTTTAAGATTTATAATTTTTAATAACAATATATTTTTTGTTCAATCTGACTGTCTAATAAAGTTTCCTTTATTATTGTATTAGCTCTCTCTGATGTGTACATTTAATTTATGTTAACTGGTATTCTGGTATACATGTACTGCGATACAATGTTCCCCAAACAAAAAACAAGTAACTAACCAATCAAGTTTGCTGTAGTTGAAATACGGGAGAGGTTAATTGCAGTCCCACAAAAACAGACGGGAACGATTAGTCAAAATGGTCACAATGGTCCCAATTTTGCATCATTTATTAGACATTTCTTGTTTTGGATTTACCACTGGGACGTGTTCCGCGACAAAATGTATCTATATTTCAATGGTATAGAGGTGGGATACTAACAGTTACTGTAACAATATACTTTCGTAAGGAATTAAAAAAATATAAATATTTTATGTGTATGTTTATAAATATTTTAGTCTTAAAGACACAAAATAAAATTTTCATGTTTTGTTAAATTTTCGAAATGCAAATGGGGGATAAAATGTTGTATTTTTGTTAAAACTTAATTCTCGAAAGAAATATTTCTTTATATACAAGGTTTAGTTTTCATCTTTTTAAAAATAAAGGCTGTAGTAGTAAAAGTAAAACCTTTGAATACTAAAATAATTTAAAAACGATAAATGGTATTTTTT